GTCTTGCGGCCGGGGAGGGCTGAGGGCGGCGGCCGGGGAGGGCTTGAGGGCGGCGGGCTGCGAGTGCGGCCTGGTGCTCGGTGAGTGCCGGGGTCCCGGCTGTCCCAGCACAGCCACGGCACTGGGCGGGGGTGGGAGCTGGGGGGAGCGAGAATGACCAGGTCACAGAATCACAGAACGGGTCAGGCGGGAAGGGACCAGAGTGGGTCATCTGGTCCAACGTCCTGCTCAAGCAGGGTTATCCCAGAGCACATGGCACAGGATTGTGTCCAGGCAGTTCTTGAATATCCTTAGTAAAGGAAACTCCACACCTTCTCTGGGCAGTCTGTTCCAGTGCTTGGTCACCTGCACAGTAAAGGTCTTCCTCATGTGCAGGTAGAATCTCCTGTGCATCATTTTCTCGCTATTGCTTCTTATCCTATTGCTTGGCACCTCCAAGAAGAGCCTCACTTTTCATCTTCATCACACCTTCGCTTCAGATATTGCAGGGGTTGCCAACAATATTTACAAGGCAACAAGAAGCCAGTGCACAGTGCATAAAATCAATGATTTTTCTTTCAAGACCCAGATGTGCAGTTCCTCTCTGCAGGATATTCTGGATGCTAGAAGCTTTTCTGAATTCACAAGGAGAGTTAACACAAATGCACAGAGACCTGTGAAATACACTCTCTGTGGTGCTCATGAAGATACAGAAGCCAAGTGTCGATAGCATAATTCATTAACAAGTTGGAAAGTGATCAAAGACTAGACAGAAGTCAGACAAAAGAATTGCCAGTAGCAGATTGTCTTCAGATCTGCATTTAAGCCCTTCTTAAAGTCTACCAGACCTTAGCTGTAATTCTTCTTCAAAAGCTATTGTCTGTGCTTAAGCTTACACCGTGGGACAATGTTCAGTGCTAGCTGAAGTTTATTATCCATAGTAGTATCCCTATGGGCAAATATGCTCTGTATTTCTCTTGTTCATGGATGTAATTTCTAAAAGGTACATTACATGCCTTTGTCTTCCATTCTGCCTTAAAAGAACTGAGTGGGTGTAGTAGAGCAAGTAAAAAGTAAGAAACCATCGCAAACATGTATACTGGTGGTGTTTAATGAGAGAAACAGACTCTAAAAGGAGCTTGATGTGATGTGTGTGTCAGCACCTTTAATGTACTGTCATGAAAAAAAAAAGGTGTTTTTTATTTTTTTAAGCAATTTGAAATGGATGAGACTTTTTGCTGGATTAGACTGGTAATAATTTTTCACTAGGGTGAAATGTAATGCACAAAGTAAAAAGCATGTGGACTTTGTCCATAAAAATGTTCTGGAAATCAATGTTGACGGCAGTTGACAAAACGCAAATGCGAACCCGTGCATTCTGGCACTGGTCAGAAGTATGGAAATGCATCTTGTGAGCCAACTGATATTACCAAACCCCCCCCAAAAAAATGTGGAACCACTTGTCTCCATTTTGGCACTTGATTCTTGAAGGTTTGCAATGTGTCATTTTGCCACGGGGTGTCCCTAAAACCCTACTGTGAGCTGTTGCAGTCTGTTTCTCTAGTAAAAAAAAAAAAAAAAATCTGTTTTCATAGTTAGAACCATAATTTGCTAAAAAAATGTAAAATGTGCAGAATACTAGGTGGACAGATAAAAATGGCATGGAACTGTTTCTAATAAGCTGAAGGATGAAATACACATGCAACAATAAATTATAAGGTGAAAGTATGAATTTGTAAATAAACATGATTTATTAATCTCTTCTGGATTGGACATTTAATTTTTTTTTATGTCCCAACTACTATTGTATAAATAACATATCTGTAAAATACACCAATTATTGTTTTCACTTTTGAAAACAATCCTGCATATGAATTTAATTTCTTTTTTGATCAACAGAACATTGTTTGGTATACAAAAAGCAATGCAACTGCTCTGCACAACATTAACCAGTCTTAAGATATAAAAGATGTCACCATATGTCCTTTAGAGGATACCTTAGACATACCAGTACAACAAAAAGCAATTAAAAATGTATAATTTGACTCATAAAATGAATTTTCATGAAGAATAGTTTTGTTAAATTTGTGAAAACATGAAATGCTCTTTTCACATCTCTTTTGGAGATAAACATGATAATGCAGAGTCTCCTCTTCCACCATGCCAAAATCTGAAAGTAAGATTTACAAGAAATCCAGGATGGGGAAAGGGAAGAGAAAAATACTTGTTTCTGTAGCTCTGTTTCTGGAAGTTAAAATCTTGCAGTTTCTTTTCTGGCTTTAGATGGGGATTGTATTTCAGAGGTGTTACTCACACCTTACGTCTGAAAAGGTGAGTTGTACCCATGCGTGCTTAATAGTGGCTGCTTGCCAAAAAACCTCATTATTCACCCTGCACTGTCTCCAGAATATAAAACCTGGGCTAGTTGCTAGCAGGGAAGAGAGAACACTTTGTTTTGTTTCTTAGCTTGACTTTGGGACTACCTAAAGCAGCCTCTTTCAAAGGCTGTTTATAACCTTGCTATGAGCAGGCAATAGGAGTCAGAGGGTTCACATGGCCTCCTTACCCTTTTTGCATCACTTTCTTCAGAGGCACCAGTCTGCATGTCCCTGTCTGTGCTATTCCAAGATATGTGCAGCCAGAGGTACTCTAAATAACTCCTATCTTGGAATATAAGAAAACATAAGAAATAATTTCTCTCAAATTATTTTGTTGGTGGAATACAGAAAAGCTTAATTAGTCTCATAATACTCTGATGTTTTAACTTCACCATGTTTGTAAACCACTGCTGTAAGCCCCCTGTTGAAGGCCACCAAATTTGTCAGGCATGATTTGCCATGGTGAAATCATGTTGACTGCCACTAATTACCTCCTTATTTTCCATGTACCATGGGTTGTTTTCCAGGGGGATCTGCTCCATGATTTTGACAGGTACAGAGGCAAGAGTTACTGGCATGTGTTTCTCTGGGTCTTCCATATTTCTTTTCAAATCAGTGGTGAAATATGTCACAGCAGTAAATTCTAACTGCTATATGGCAAGTGTAGTATATTTTAGGAGATGTAAATATTACCATGTTTTCCAAAAAGTGCTCTTTCACTAGTTGGTAAAAGTAGGATTCTGAGTGAGCAAATACTGTGACTAAGTTCTGCATGTAAATTTGAGTCCTCAGTGCTCAGTGAGGTACTGAAGGTGCCAATTACTTGATTGCTCTGATCTGTTCCCTAGGACTAGGGAAATGCACATAACTGTAGAACTTGAGTACCACTTTCAGAGAGAGCAGTGTATTAGGATGGGATTCACCTAATTTAATTGATATGTCAACAGTAATGATGACTGTAATAGATATCTAGGCTGTCTTTATCATCAGAGATACTCCAAGGATATGATTCATTTTAGTATGAATGCCAAAATCTATTGTAGGAATCACCTTCTAGAAATTATTATTTGTAGTGATTCAAAATTACATTGGTTTACTCTTAAACAAATGGGATTTATTGTGCAATTTTGAATTTCAGAATTGCAGTTTACCTTCAGAATCTGTTTTAGGCTCTTAAATGATTGTCTGGATTTCAACAGTCTTACTTGCACATTACTTTATTTCCATTGCAAAAATTCACCTTTCATGGACCTTAAACAAAAATGGTGGCCTACTTTCTATCATATTTAAAAATCCATTAGGTATTCCAGTACAAATCTACCCTTAGTTTTGAACAGGTTTATTTCAAGTTAATTAACATTTAGCTTTTATGTCCCTTTCTTTCTTGTTAGATCTATATTAGAAGGACATTCAGGCATATTTCCAATATAACAAAAAAGAGAAAATAGAGATATTCAGAAGTTACTTTTAAGTATTATATGTATATTTATTTTAATTAGATATCTACTTAATCTTCATTTTGAAGAGTATATTTATCCATTTTTCATTGAAATATCAATAATTACAAAAGTTTTATTTCAGTGCATGCATTCTCTCATTTATGCTAATGCGGGTTATGTTACAAACAAAATCTGAAATAAAGGAAAGGAGTCACCTTCAAGGCTTGATGCCTTTATTAAGTCACTGGAAAAGGACAGAGACTGCTATAAATGTGGGACTGAGAATTTGTTGAAGGAATTTAGAAACGCATTCTCAAGTCCTAAGTGAACCTCTACGTGTGGCAGCATTTAAAAAAAAAAATTAAAAATTAAAAAATCATCCATCCAGGTGAGCTTGGGAAATCGCTTTGGAAGAGGAGGAATGTATTTTTTAGAGTATATCTCATGTTAAACTACTAAAGTTATAACTACCATGAAGAAAAACAAATTGATTGTAAACAGAAGCATGCATAAGATGGGAATGGGCCAGTAATAGAAGTTTTCAAACCACATATAATAAGAAACTGTTTCAAGCATGTTTGTTTTTCTACTTTAATACTATATCACCATATTCTTTAAGGGAGTGGTTTCTGATTCAGAAGTCTTGAAAATATTGAGACAATGTGAAGAACTTGAGTCAACATGGAAAATAAATGAACGTCATGGCAGAAATTCAGGGCAACTTCAAAGTTTTAACAGCTGAGAGAGACAAAATTCTCAATCTTTATGAACAGGCAATTTTATTTATATTTGTGTGATTAATTGAAATAACAAGGTAATATGCAAGAAAAAAATATTTTTGGCTTCATATGAAAAAAGAAAGAATGCAAAGTATTTGTTTAAAAAATAGGGGAAAAAAGTTACAGAAATTTTGTGATTTGGATCTGTCAGTTCAATACAAGTTTGTAAGTGCTTTCCCGAGTTAAAAATGCTTTCCTGAATCAAAGAATGTGTGCACAAGTTATTCATCTTTGCTATTCCAGTTTCTGGGACACTCCACATTACCAGCCACAGGACCCAGTAATATATTGATTATCTATTCCATGTTTCTGTTATTCTACTGTTTTTAAAAATAGGCAAAGGAGGAGATTTCCCCACTTTGTCAAGAAGTTATAAAATGTCCAAGGACTCCTAAAGCCACAGTTCAAGCTGTATTAAGACACATGGAGATAGAAAGGGATACAGCACTGTCAGATTTCCAAAGGATGCCTGCAGAACATGTTGGCCTCAGGGAGCAGTTACAGGTTTGATTCTGTCCCATCCCACCTCGGCCTCCCACCACAGGTTATTTAAACATGAAAACTACTTAACAGTGTAATTAAAGTTGTTAAGAATTTCTGTTCTGGTCTTGAGAATGGATTGCTTCACAAGTCTGTGTTGAGTTGAGACTTGTTCTACATGTGATTTTGTTGTTGCTGTTATTTGATACAGATTTCCTGAGAAACTTTGTTTATGAAAAGGTTCATTTGGAACAGAGAGTTGAAGAGCTTGAAACTACTGTTCACAATGTAAGGGAAAATAATTATTTATAGAATTGTAAATGTAATACAGGTGATGTTAATGGTTAATCCTGCAGGACCAACCTGACTGCTATCAGGAAACAGCAGGCTGAGAGCAGTGGGTGTTATTTACCAAGACTCTTTCCCTTCTACCCTGCTCTGGTAAAGGCACCAGCTGGAGGACTGTGTCCAGCTCTGGGCTCTCCAACTCACAAGGACATGGACCTGTTGGAGTAAGTCCAGAGGAGGCCATGAAGATGATCACAGTGGGCTGGAGCACCTCTCCTGCAAAGACAGGCTGAGGGAGCTGGGGTTGTTCAGCCCGGAGAAGCGAAGACTTTGGGGACATGTTTTGGCAGCTGGGTTAGGGTTAGAGTTTGGGTTTAGGGTTGGGGTTAGGAGGTTAGGGTTAGGGTTTGGAGTTAGGGTTGGGTTAAGGTTAGGGGTAGGGTTGAGTTTAGGGTTAGTAGGTTAGAGTTTGGTTTAAGGTTAGGGTTATGGTTCGGGGTCAGGTTTAGGGTTTGTGTTATGGTTGGGATTGGGGATAGCGTTAGGGTTTGGGTTAGGGATTAGGGTTTGGGTTGAGGTTAGAGTTAGGGGGTTAAGGTGTCAGGGTCAGTGTTACGGTTGAGGGTTAGCATTCGGGGTTACGGGTTAGGGTCAGGGTTTGGGTTGGGGTTAGCATTTGGGTTACAGTTATGGTTTGGGTTAGGGTTAGGGCTTAGATTAGGGCTAGGTTTAGGGTTTGGGTTAGGGTTAGTTTTGGCTGTTTAAGTTATGGTTAGGTTTTTGTTAGTGTGGAGGAAACCCCATCCTCTGCCAGGCACCCTCCTTGGACATCTGCCCCCTAAGATAAGACAAAACCGCCTAGTCATGGTGACTTAGCTGTGGACTCCTTCCTGCTTCAGGACCCCATGTTATCTCCCTGTTAACTATTAGTTGTCTTACCCCCATATCAGACCACTGACGCTTTTCCAATTCTCCCCTTCCATATAAAAACCTCATCTTTTTCCCAGATCAGTTGTAGATCATCACCAGCCCCCTTCGTTGAAGCCTGCATTAAAGAACTCCAGCAGAGCGCCACATGGTCTCCTGTCTCTTGTCTGCGTGCAGTTGGGGTAACCCATGCATGGAGCTGACTGGGCTGATCTGAGCTGATCACTGCAAGAGCAGAAATCACTTCTAAAAGAGCTGTTCACTTGAAGCCTCTGCCTACACTCCTAAGGGTTACCCCTGGCTGGAAACTGCCTGGAACCCCCCAGATGGTGGTTCCTTTCCTGGGATGTCTATCTGGGCTTGTTGTCAGCAGAACTGGAGTCAGAGAGACCCCCAGACCCAGCCGCAACACGTTAGGGCTTGGTTTAGAGTTGGGTTAGAGGATAAGGGTTTGTGTTTGGGTTTATGTTAGGGTTATAAATTCTGGTTTATCTTATTTTTCAGTCTCAGCCTTCTAAAATCCTGCTAAGCTTTAAAATGTAATTCCACAGTTTATACTATTAAATGGAGTGCATCTGATATGAAGAACAGACTGTAATTTGAATTAGCTCTGAGTAGTTAATTAACTTTAATCACAAGCCTACATATGACATATAGTGAGTATAGAGAGCCTTGTTTTAGGTACATCATCTTATTTCTTCAGTTATTTTTGTACCCCTTGAGAGCGATACATCAACATGAAATTTATGGCACTAGTATTGAAACAGCTACTGTATATAGATGCCTATTGACTTGCTCTTTAGAGACCTGACCTTTGATTATAGTAACACAGAAATTAGTACTGAAAAATTTGGTTAAGGAGAGGAATGAGGTCAGAAGCTTTTTACTTTAAAAGAGGTGTTTCAAATTAGAAAGCACAGTCCCTTTGTCGTGGTTTTAAAGCAGTAACTAAAAAAAATACTTATTTCTTGCTGTGAGATATGGATTAGAACAAGATCAAAACAGGCTTAAAACTTAAAAGGAATAAAGAAAGTTTATTAAGAAAACTACAAGAATAAAAACACCAGAATAAACTTCCAGAATACTCTTTTATCCCCCACTACCTGACCATTCTTTTGTACACGTGACAACATAGAGACAGAAGAACTTTAGAACTTTGGTGGTTAAAACAGTCCTAATTCTTGCTAGTCTTTTCATCAGCCTTTGTAGAGAAACAGAAGTTTTCTTCTGCTAATTTATGGAGTTTCTCACAGGAAAACTATTTCTGTTATAGTTTTCTATTTTTCTGATGCCAGCTGCCCGGAAATCCTGTTATCAGAGTTCACTCCTCCCATTTCACATCACTCTGAGGTGTGTATGGGCCATGAGTCTAGGGAATGTCATTTTAAGGATGAGTTATATTCAAAGGCAAAAGTTCTCTTCATCTATTTCTGTGAGCTTCTCTGGAAACAGTTTTCTCATTGGCTCTCAAGGCCTCAACTCTTCAACTATTACTTTATCTCACTCTGCTCCAGCACCTCACTGTATCACAATTACTCCACCTTTTGCTCAAAATCCAAACTTTGAACACTCCATTCCTCCCTATATACTCTGTCATGTATTACAGGAGGTTTTTTTCAAGACCCTATTGTCCATCTCCATAGCTTTAACAGAAAAATATTTCAGTTTATAAAACATCTCCTTATTCTCTACCTCTTCTGAAGCTTAATTATTTTCTTTACTGTCTCTGATAGTTTATAAAGTCTCTTTACATGTTGATTACTCTCCTTTTCTCTCTCTGGATAAAAGGATTAATCTGCAAGTCTCATCTGGGTAATGAAAGGGTTAAAATCTTGCCCAGGCTTTGTAGATAGTTCTGTGATTTCTGCCAGAGCAGCAGCTGGAGTTGTCTGCGATGGAAGATTTCTTCATGGCTGCTCTGGAGAGTGTGGTCGCTGTCTCAGCCTGCTGCAGGTCAAGAGCTTTTTTTTCTTTTCTTTACTCGGCAGTCTCTGGTGAATTCAGTCATGGCAAAAACTGCAGCCGAGCCAGGGACCGGCCTGGCCCGGCCAGAGCCCGGAGCAAGCCCCGCAGGCCCCATCTCCCGGCCGGGAGCCGCTGGGCCCAGCCCAGCCCCCGCCCAGGCCGCATGGCCGGGCAGGGAACGGGAGGCCAGCTGGAGCTCTGTTACCTTTCACAGCCAGGAAACACAGAGACAAAGAAATTCTCAGGCTTAGGTCTTAAGGTGGTGTTCACAGGTTGATTTCACTTTTCAATGGTCAAAACTGCTGTCAGTTCTTAGAAATGACCGATAATTGGTCAGGAGAAAAGACTCCCATCAGTCCCCAGCAGTTTCAACTTCCTTAGCTCTCAAAACTATCTTAAAGGTAAAGTCACCCCATGACACCCTTGCATGTTAAGTGTAAGCATTTCAATAAAAAGATAGAGGTTTCTTTAAACTGAAGATTTCAAACCAACTTTTCTGGAATCTGTGCAAGAAGCTTTGGATCTATTCTTTCTTTTAGCTACAGACGTGAAAGCCTCATGGTGGTAACTTGGTTACATAGTGCTTAATGCAAGGGTTTTACAGTGATTACGTGGTTATTGGCATAGGTGTGTAACTTAATAGAGGCCTAAAGCCATTATTGGTCATGTTTGGTCCCAAACCATGATTTCTCCCTTCCTACACTCATAATAATGTCTTCTTTTATGTTATTTTGCACTGAAAACTTTTAATGTTGATCAATGGCAAACATTTTTGCCCTTGGGTATAATTAACAACCAAAAATTTACATGAAGAAATTAAAATATTCCCAGAGATCTAAAACATGGGAAATTGATTTACCTTCAAAAGAAATGAAAGTCACATTTCAGGTCTTTGCCAGCTATCTTCAGTAAACTGAGTCAGGCCTTGAGTAAATGAGATGCTTGGACATTTCTTCTTCAGCAAAATGTTTTTGCTAAAAACAGAGTAAAAATTGAAATAAATTCTATAAATCAGATCTTTTTTTTTCCCTCAGCTGTTAATGTTTGATTATATTTATAGTTAGATAGTGAACAGTTAGAACAGAAGTCCAAAGTGGCACTAATGAAAGACACCACTGATTCTCTGGAAACTGAGATGAAAAGATTGACAAGAAAACTATTGGATTCTGAAACTGAGCTGAGTTGACAGGAAGCTGAATATTTTTTTCTTAGGTAAGTAAAAGTAAGTAATTGCATTAATTTGACTAGTAACATCAGCCTATGTTCACTGGTTTCTGTAACTGTTATATGGCTCAAAGGGAAGGGAATTTATGAAAGCTACTTATGGAATTCCTTCATTTTGGAATGAAGTTGTTTTCCTCATTGCTTATTTATATGTAAATGTACTTGTCCTATTGATATGATGATATGGTGGAAACCATCTTCAATGAAAAAGTAAAATTTGCTTAGAGTTAGGAGCTTTCTATTAGAAACTACAGGGATTGATGGGTTTTTGGTAAATAGCATATGAATAATTTTATTTTCATTTTTTAATTTTATTTTTTAATAAAAACAGGCAAGCTTGCATAAACTAGTGAATGTCATGTCATTTGTTTTAAAGATCCATTCCTTAGTCTTGGAGCCTTTTCACAAGAAGAAATAAAACTGAATCTTTGCTTAGGGCTTATGGTCTGCTGCTCAACTACAGCTCCCAGCCATGTTCAGAAGCATAGTAGGACTAGACTCGATCAAAGCCATTAGGGAATAAAACATGTCAGTGAGTGCTGCTTTGTAATAAATTGTCAGACTTATGAGCATTGTTGAATTGCTGAAAACTAGTTGCTTCTACTGGAAGATCTTTTTCTTTACACTTCCAAACCAAGCTGATAATTTTTTTCAGTTTCTTGAACAGTGTGAGAATCATTATTATTACTACATTTGAACAGATAATTTGAAACGGGTCAGGCATTCCAATGGGTGCCTCAGGGGATGATTTTTATTTTAATTCTTTTTGTTACTTTTTTACAATCATCTGTTGCAAAGAATTCTTCTTACTTTTCTGTAATCCTTTACATGATTTTTCAGAACTTAATATACTGAGATTAAAGTTAACATCAATAAAATATTCCAAACAGTCTAAAACAGACAGAAAAATCTCCATTTTTGCTATCTTTTTCAATTTTAGTGACCTTTCAAAAAAAAAAAAAAAAAATCAGTGTCTGAATTCTCCTGTTTAATGTTTCTGCTTTTCCAGTTTATTGAATGAAAAGACAGAACTGAGTCTTTCAGAGATTCAGTGAAGCCTTGTGGAGAAAAAAACTTGAAATACAACTTAGCCAAGAGAAAATTATGCATTTAGATGAAAAAACTGGTGAGTGACAGATCCAATTTTTATAATAAAAATCAGTAGGCTAATTTTCATATTTTGCTGTCATCTTTTTTTTTTTTTTTATGGGTTGAAGGAAAAAGCATTGAATGCAAATAAATATACTTCTGAAAGTTTTAACATTTCACATGGAAAACTTTTGTTTTCTTTAATTTTTGAAAGGTTTTTGCATTTTAAAATTATGTGACAGAGCTCTGGCAAGTGTAAGTTTCAGTGACAACACATGCTGTGTTGTCAGCATGTGCTGACAACATGAACAGCATGTGCTGGTACTAGTGTGCAGTGTGTGAGCATATCAGTTATATTTGTGATTCACTAAGACAGTGGTAGCACTTCTCAGCACCACTGATGGTGGAAATCAGGAAAACATGCTATATAGTATATTGCAGTATATATCCTGTATATCCTTTTTTATATTATGGGAGTAAAGGAGATGGATACAAGGATTATTATTCCTGTAATGCCAAGGAATATGTTCTCCCAAATCTACAGCTGTAGATGGTGATACTTTCCCTAATGCAGAGCAAGATACCGCTTGCCTTCTTTACAGCAAGGGCACATTGGCGGCTCTTGTTCAACATGATGTCCATCAGGACCCCCAGCTTTCCTGCCAAGCTGCTCTCCAACAGGGTAGGCCCCAATGTGTACTGGTGCCAGGGATTGTTCCTCTCTAGGTTCAGGAATTCTCTTTATTGAACTTTATGAGGTTGTTCTCAGCCCATTTCTGCAGCTGGTGAGGGTCCCCCTGGATGGCAGCACAACCCTCTACTGTATCAGCCACTCCTCCCAGTTTATTACCTCCTCAGTAATACCAGAAAAACAGTCTCTTACTTCGTCTGTAATTATAAGCTGCAGTCTACATGTTGCTTCTATCTATAGTAATTCTGTTTAAAGTTTTGTTATAATACTGAAGAAAGTTATTTTTAATGATCTAAATATTTACTCTTGAAAAACAGATTTGTTCTGAGCCATGTAATTTAAGGCCCTGAGCTAAAGAAAAATCCAGTTCTATAAATATAATTTATAGATTATTATTACTATATTTTTAAAAGGTGCATGCTTCAGTGTTTTCTTGAAGGGGAGCTTTTGCCTTGTTCTTTTATGCTTCAGAAGTGTATTAAAAGAATTTTAATTTCAAATGGCTTGAATTAATAAAAAAACAGAGACGCTTCTGATTGCATCCAGATAACTTTTCAATATGAAGTCTTGTACAACAAGAGGAGATCTGTACTTTGAAAGAAACAATTGCACAACTTAATATGGAGAAGTCATCTCTGCAAGACTGTGTGGAAGAAGGGAGAGGATTTCTACTTTTCAGTAAAGCCTGGCAATTAACGTATGTTCTAATATTCAAATAGTCACAAAAATTAAATAGGGAAAGGATCTGTTAGGTTATCACATCTATGCTGCATTGGTACCTACAGCAGTGCCGCGTGCTGGTCTACTTCTGTTCCAGTTTAAGGGCAACAATAAAAACTCATGTTGACTCCAACAGCAGTAGGTTTGACTTGTGGTGATCATCTCTGTTTAGGTATTTTTAATTAGTTATGCTTACTGAGAGAGAAGACTTTACTTACTCTCCTGAAGTGGAGAAAATTAGCAAAAAAAATATTTTATTTGCCATAATGTCATGGTTTTAAAGCAGTAACAGAAAAAAACAGAAAACTTACTTATTTCTTGCTGTGAGATATGGATTAGAACAAGAGCAAAACAGGCTTAAAACTTAAAAGGAACACAGAAAGTTTATTAACAAAAACTACAAGAATAAGAAACCAGAATAAATCCTCCAGAAACCCCTTTTTTCCCCAACTACCCAACCATTCCCTTGTTCACAGGACAACATAGAGACAAAAAAATTTTGGTGGTTAAAACAGTCCCAATTCTTGCTATAATCCTTTCATCAGTCTTTGTAGAGAAAAAGAAGACTCCTTCTGCTAATCTATGGAGTTTTTCACAAGAAAACTATTTTTCTTCATAGTTTTCTATTTCTCTGATGCCAGCTGCCCAGAAATCTGTCATCAGTTGTCTCCTCCCATTTCACATCACTCTGAGGTGTGTATGAGTCATGAGTCTAGGGATGTCATTTTTAAGGATGAGTTATTCAAAGGCAAAAGTTCTCTTCATCTGTTTTTGTGAACCTTTCTGGAAACATAAGTTTTCTCTTTGCCTCTTAAAGGCCACAAATCTTCGACTATTACTTCCCGCCTCGTTCCAGCATCTCGCAGGATCACAACTACTTCACCATTTGCTCAAAATCCACACTTCGAAACACTCCATTCCTCCCAATACACTCTGCCATGAATTAAAGTTTTTTTCAGAACACTACTGTCCATCTCCATAGCTTTAACAGAAAAATATTTCAGCTTATTAAAGCATCTCCTTATTTTCTCTTCCCTCTCCAAAACTTAATTCTTTTCTTCACTGTCTTTGATGGTTTTATGGTGTCTCTTTACATGTTGATCACTCCCTCTCTCTCTTCCTCTCTCCCTCTGGGAAAAAAAAGGGTTAATCTGTAAGTCTCATCCAGATAGTAAAAAAGTCTTGCTCAAGCTGCAGATGTTCATGGTGTCAGGTTTCAGTTCAGTGGCAGAAACTGCAAACCAAGTCAGGAACCGGCCCGGCCTGGCTGGCCCCGCTTCCCCCCCCCCACCCTCCGCGGCCTTGTCCGGCCTGGTGGGGGTGGGGAAGAGACCGAGCCAGAACCCTGTTACCTGTTCAGAAGCCGGAAACCAAAGAGACTCAAAAATTCCCGGGCTTACATCTTAAGGTAGGTGTTCACAGGTTGATCTCACTTTTCAATGGTCAAAATTACTGTCAGCTCTCAGAAATGGTTAGTTATTGGTCAAGAGAAAAAACTCCCATCAGCCTCCAGCAGTTTCAACTTCCTTAGCTCCCAAGCTAATCTTAAAGGTGCAGAACTTAATATATAACATAAACCAGGCCATTTGGGGATACCAGTATCATAAAGTCAACCCAGGATACATAAAAATTAGTCTCACTTCTTCCTTGGGGTCCTGTGATGTTAAAGATGGAGAATACTAAATAATATTGCCTTGCTTATCACCAAAGAACATCTGAATTATGTTCTTTTTATCATAAGGTTTATTGCCCAGTGTGATTTCAATCTATATAATGAAGCTGCTTAGTTACTAGATATGAAACTTCATTTTTCACTTCAGCTTAAGTGGCATGGATGTTGATTTAGCATGAACTAAACAACATTTTTAAACTGATGTGGTTTAATGCAAGAATTTGCAGTGATTTTTAACAAAATCTAAAAGAAAAATTATTGCAGCGCATCTTGCCATAAGCATCGGCTTTGCATTTTTAAAACAGCAAATTGTAAAATTGTATCCGTTTTAGAGAAGAGATGGCTCTCTCACCTCTCTTGTGTCTCCAGTAAAAGATGTTTCCTAAGCTATGCTTCTCTTACTATCTGTGTTCAAAGAAAAGGGAGTAAAGTAATATACTTAGTGATGGAGTTCTTTTTTCATCAATTAAAAGCTACCAGACCAGAATAAACCACCAGTTTATTCACTGTAGAAGAGCTATGTTAACCTATGCAATAGGCAGAAGTATAATTTAGATTTGTGACTTTGAGTCAAATGCTATATTTAGAAACAAAGGATTTAAAAATTTAAATAAAATTATTATATTCTGCAAAAAGATAACATTTGTTCCTTTATTTGCCAAATTAAAAAAAAAAAGAAAAGAACTTTCAGTATACTAAACAGTATATGATGAAACTTGGAAAATCATAATCCATTTGGCATTAAATAGGTAATTTATTCAGTTAGCTGAATAAAAAGAGATATAACATTCTTTCAATTTTTTCACACTTATACTCAGCAGTGGTTAGAGATTTGTTTTAACTTTTTATTTCTTTTCAAGGAGAAAATTATTTCAGATTTCAAGATTCTGATTTCAGAGTTGGAGCATTCCAAAAAGCAAGGATGAAAATTCAAGATCATTATAAAATTTTGATTAATTTATAGCTTTAAATAAAAAATGGAATCATATGATGTGCTAATGTGTTACAGCTTTGTTTCCTGAGCTGAAAAACACTGGAAAAGCTATAATTTATATTTAGTTGGGCAGTATTGTTATACCTGAATAAGTTTCTATTTGCTACTTGGAGAATCTACTGAAGTCTCCATCTCCAGCTTGCATCAACAGCTGCAACAACCAACAAAGAACTCAGACTAGCAAGAACAGAGAATCATTAGCTCAGGAGAATGACAGATTAAAAGTGAATCTTTCTAATATTAAGCAAGAAATTCAGGTACATTTGTAGAGGGGACCCTTGACTAGAAAGAAAAAATGGTACCTTTTTCAAATAGCACTGAGAATTGGTGGATCCTCATCTGAAGTAAATTCAAGACTAGTTTTTAAGTTCATGTTTCAGACTCAGATTTTCCCCCTTATTGCTCAGCTCACTTGTATAAAGAGGACCAGCTATTCTTATGCAATGGTTTGGATATTTGTCTTGAGGAACAGCTAATTAGTTGGTTTTCCCCCTAATCTTAAAGTAAAAACAACAAGGCAGCTATAGTTATCACTTACATGGAAAAGAACTATAAAAGAAGCAGCAAGTATTTCTTATAGTGTGCTGTGACTGGCCTAGAGGATTTAAAAGCTTATGAATTTGACTTGCTAATAATTCAACACAGTACACATTTTAATGAGGTTCTAAACTTTATTAAAATTATTGTATTTATGTTTCCTCAAGAGCTGCTTTTGGATAAAAGGTACTTGAAATAGTGGGTTATAATACAGCCTTACATTATCTGCTGTGTTATTTATCTCTGTGCAGTTCCTGGTGAAAGTAGTTAAAATATTTCAAGTGTCATCTCATGCACACACAATACTCCTGCACTGATATGTTTTCCAGGCAGCTAGAAATTTAGCTTAATACCTGTTGATGTCCATCACTTCTGTGGGTGATGTGGATTTTCTTCTTTTTCTTCAGGTTCTTGCCTTCATTCAGGTTTTCCAATACTTAATCACTTTACTGCTCACTTGACCTTCTCTTCCTCTAGAAGTGCTACTCAGTTTTAAAGGAGCAACTTAACTGTACCTGATGTCAGGTATATAGAACTTTTAAGTCATTAAGGGTCCCTTTTAAATGAAGAAAAGTCCTCTAAAAGATTCATCCCACCTGAGTTTTTAAAGTGATTAATTTTACCTCTCTCACTTCATTATGGAGGTAGTATAGCTAATGGCTTTAGATCAGGTGCTTAATTTTTAGGTGAGACCACTTGCATTCTAAATAACTTTTCTCCCAAACAGTGCCCTCCTAGGAAAGGTGAGGTTGGTAATGGCTTTGACTGCCAAAGGTTCACCAGGGAACCACTTCTTCGCCTTCTCTTGGAATCAGAGTTTATAAGGATGATGTCAGCTGGTACAAAATGCAGCTTCCTGTTGCTCCCAGCTACTTTTGGAAGATTCACAGTTTTCTTTGCAATAGCTGGATACTTGTAAAAGCAGTTGGGAAAAAAAAAAAAAATCTTAGTCTCATAGGATGAAGTACTTTCCAGTAGGATTGACTCTAGAATATGTGTTGGTTCCTCCAGGCCCTTCCATTAATTTAGGTGATACTCCAAGTATTTAAAGTATTATAATTTCTTTGCTTGGGTTTACTGGAAAACTTCCAGAACACCTTTCTGAATAACTCACAGCCTTTTTGCAACAGGAATAGGGGTTTCTCCATAAAGCATTCCCCACACTACCATACTTTCCCCCAGTTCTTGTAGCTGAGTTCTCCTGGTAATTTTGCACAAAAGAAATTTCTGATCTGTGCAGTTCAAGACAGCCTTTCTGCATTTCTTTTTCCTTCTTCTGTTCACTTTCTCAAGGAATAATTCTCAGAAGTTCTGTGTGTGATCTCCTAATACTTGTGCCTTTATTTCTCCTCATTGGGAGATAACCACTTGATTAATTAGCATGAAAGCAATTCTGTAATAATTAAATTACTTCATTTTTTATCTGTCTTCTACTTTTTAAAATATAGGCTTTTAAAAAACTGTAATTTAAAAAGAGATGGAACTGATTGAGCTCTGCCTGTTGAATGGGACAGGCTGGTTTTTTATGACAATCTATCTGCTAAATAAACCATCTGTTTTTTCTTTATAACTGCTACATTCCTTTACAGACATTTTTCTTCTTTCTAAGAAGATTTAGCATTATTTATAATTTTAAAAAATGAAAAATTTGGTTTATAAAAATATATATAATTTACATTTCACTTAGCCTTTAAAAACTAGTTAATAAATCCATAGACCTTAGATACATACTAATTCTTTTTTTTTAAGGTACAAACAGTATACTTAAACCTTTTGGAAAAAAACTTACTTCATTGGTACTATATAAAAAACTAGCAAAGTACCAAACTGAGCTTGATGATATGAAGTTGAAAACCCAGGATTCAAACAGAGATCTCTTTGGGCTGAAGCATGTGCTGAAGTCTAAAGTGAGTATAAAAATTAAAACTGTTGGGTTTTAAGTAAAAATGAAACTTTTAGATATCTCCATAGAAGAATTTGCTTCCTAACCAAAACTTAGTTGCATTCCCTTAATTTGGTTTTAGTAGTTTGAAGACATTTTCATGTCTGTTTTTGCAATACAAATTAATGTAGAATATTTTGTTGTGGTTTTTTATATATATATATATATATATATATATATGTGTGTGTGTGTGTGTGTATATTTATACATGCACATGTCTGTTTATTAAACTTCAAAAATCAGACAGGGAGTAATACCCAGCCTTGGAGCTATTTTGTCTTTATTACTTTATGGGATTAAAATAAAAAGAAATATTACTGCACTATATTGCTATACCTTGTATGTCTAATGTTAACCTAGCCATTCTTAACAGATATTTATTGATCATTAAAACATACTCATCTTTAACATAACTCTGGTTCTTGAGAAGTCTCTCAATGTTTTCACTAAATTGCAAAATTTTCAGTGGAAAGGATATATCCAATACCATATCTGTAGATCTATAAATATCCTTATTTTTTGGAGCTTACTGTAAGTTATTAAACAAACAAGCTTTATGTATTAGGAGAGAGAGCTGTGAGCTCTTGGAGAATTATCACAAAGCCTGTGAACAAGGAGAAAGTTGGGAAACAAATTACCATGAAGCAGAAACAGGCTTTTCCTGTTAGACTGGCACTGATCAGTGCAGTCTGAGAGCCACAGTTGGAAAGGGAAAATAGAGTCCCTGGAAACACAGATGGAGCAAGGGATCATTCTTTCCACAGTTCACCCTTGAAATGGTCTGGTAATATTTTTAACAATGTTTAATGCCACTTAAGAGATATAAAGAAATAAAGAGATTTTCCACCATGAACTGTATGCATTTTACTTTATATAATAATATTAGAATTCCACTAGTCACACTTGGGAAAAAATTCTTTTAAAAAAAAGAAAATTCAAGGAAAACAAAAAATTTAAATGCTCTCATGGTTTGGAATCACTGAAGGCATAAAGTCATACACAACTCCACAGCATACCTGAATCATAGCAAGTACTTTGTCACCTGTCATGTTCCTGTCCCTGCTCTTCTTGCTTTGAGCTTCTTAGCCTTCTTTTCACTGCTTTAGAAGTCCCAAAGAGCCTCTTCTCACTTGAAAATCTGAAGAACTTAAAGAAAAATTCATACCTTGGTTTTGGAAATACGTTGTGAGCATATAAACATGGTTTGGGGGCTCTCCAATTTTTGTTGCAGATCATCTCTACTTCCTAATATCACATAAGCTGTTGAGGGCTACTCAAGAACAGTAGATACTCTAGAGGAACCAAACTCTATCTGTTCAGAAAGTAGATGAGAGCACAGCAATGACAAAACAGCACAGGAGGGTGGTGTGGCAGATTTTTTCATTCCTTTAAGATATAATAAAACTAGTACATGGTTCTAGTTTGTTCAAGAAGCCTGAAACCAGCAGACATTTCATCCTTCCAATTCCTTTCCACATGCCTGCTATTAAGTATAGGAATAAATAGGCCTCTTCATGAGCCCTATCGCAATATATTGGGTCAGAACTCCAAATGCCATATTCTGATTCATACAGTTACATGCAAGACACATATCTAAAACACAGAAATTTGTACACAAAAATCTTAACGTGTTCAGTAGTCCTCTGTGTTCCTTGTGCTTTTTTTTTTTTTTTTTTTTTGGTGAGACAGAGCTAGAATTAATGTGATGTGCTCCCATAAAATAATCTCTTTAGATGTAATTTCTAGTAAATCCTTCAGGCAAATCACAGTGCCTCACCTCTCGCTTTGCTCTGTTAACCTCCCACACTCATTCTGCCACTCACTGAAACTTAAGGAGTTTAAAGTGGCTGACCAGGAATATCACTGGGCAAAGTACAGGCATTTTTCAAAAAGGAAAAACCTAGGTTATGTTAATTTTAAATGTACAAAATTCTTAATGCTTTTAGTCAGACCTGCTGCTGCTGCCTTGTGGACTCCACTTTAATGTAACTCTCTCATCTTAGTCATGCCTGAATTTACAGGTGACAGGAGTATAAATATGACTCTCAGATATGAATCTCAGTATTCACATATCATCTACATACAAAACCAAATTTTATTGCTAAAATAAGAGAATCTCATCTGAAAATAAAATGTGGTCCATGGCAGAATTTTCAACCTTATTAACTCTGCAAAAGGAGTAGAATTCCAGATTTTAAAATGCCAGTGGCTAATTTTTGCTGTCAGAAGCAAGAATTCCTCTAGTTCTTACATACAGGAGTTATTTAAAGAAATAACTTTAAAGTTTACTGTAGAATAAATTAATGCAGCCTCTTAAAATTTGCCATAATTATATAGAGATACTTTGTAGGATTTTGGAAGCTGTTTTAATTCTTTTTTTTTAGTAGAGTTTTATATTGCTTACAGAAAAGGCATACAAGTCTCCTATTTCTGCCTTAAGCAGCTCTTGAGTGAAAATGGGCAGAGGGCCTTAAAAACATACATTAGGAGAGAGTCTCTGTACTTGCAAATATCACATCTATACCAGAACTTTGTGTTAAACTAGATGCAACCAAAGAATGATTAAATTAGCATTTAGTTTCCACAGCAAAGAAGGTAGAAAGCATATGTGAAATATACTAGAAAAATAAGTTTATGTTAATGTTATACTTAAGGTATCCAAATATACTTTAGGATCATGAATGATCACTTTTTCAATTTTTAAATGTTTAATTTGGCATTTCTCAGGGGCTTACTCCTCAAAGGGTATGAGTCAAACACTCTTTTAAAAGAACACTGCTTCACTGCTTTGCAGGGCTTTACGATGAACACTCAAAAGTCAGGGCTTAGAATTATTGTTGTTTTCAAGAAAGATATATTGGATTTTACATCTAGTCACTAGGTAAGCAGAATATCTGGAGCTGTTTATTAGTGATGAAACTTGCCGTGGACTTTAAAATTATTGACTATTTTAAGAATAGTCAATTTAATCTTTAAAAATTTAATCTTTTCTTAATTTCCCTTAGAAATCAGTTTTTGTTGACCTTGATTTTTACAAAAATTACAAAATTAATGTGTGATACACACATTTTTTAAAATTCAGTTTGGATAAACTTTGAAAAGTTGTTCATACATACTCCAGTTATTCAGGTATTTTCAGTATGATTCTATTACTGACCTGTCCATCCTCTGCTCCAGCTGAGATAATTGTTCTTTATAGGCTTCCAGCAGTCTCTTTAAACCTCTATGCCTTTTGAAAGCACAGTGGGTAAAGCTGCTGTTTGCCAGTTGCTTATGCATTCCAGCCAAATGTGTGTGTTGTCTTTTGTATCCTTGTGAAATCCTCTATGATTCTTTTGATAGGGAAGGGTTCCAGCATACATTTATCTGAAACTTTTATGAGATCTAATATGGCTAAGCCTCCCTAGATCCTTCTGTGAAGGGGATTGCTGGGACTGTGGAGAACAGCAACAGTTTCAGGAAAGAAAACTGAAGAAATGCAGCTGGAGAGTTGGAGAAAAGTCAGAAGTTGGGAAATTTTCACCAATTTTTCTGTATTTTTCAACCAGTAGTCTTTCATTAGCCTTGTATAGCCTTTAGATAAGGCTCTTACTTTACACAGTATTCCAGTGCAGAATCCACATTATTAGATTGTAGCATATTTATATTCAGAAGCAGAAACTGAACCTGATTCTGAATTATATTGTTCTTTCAATGTTTCTAATACTGTTTATTTTCTTAGATCTTCTTCGGTCTACAGTTTTCAGTATTATTTTGTTCTGAAATACAAATGTAGAATATTAAAACTGTTTCTCTGCAAAGGAACTAGATTTTTGAGTGACAGTTCAGAGAAAATGAGATCTTTCACAATGAAGAAACCTTTCAGTTAGTTTGGTGCAAGAAAAAATATTGACTTTTTTTGATAGATGACAAATGCTCTTTTCTTTCTTTTTTCTTTTTTCCCCCCTCCCTTCTGTTGGCCTATGATCTGAGTTCTTCCAGTATCTTCCTCCTTTGAACACACAAATGGTTATCATCTGAAATTTCTGAGAAATGTGCTGGAGAGGTGGAGAGTTTGTTAAGATGTCACAGTTCATAGATTTCCCATGACCTTTGGCTGAGCATTATTGTGCTTAATGTAAACTAGGCTTGAGTAAAATACAGATAAAAGTGTTGCAGCACCCCAAACAGATTCAGATAATCAGACAATAATGCATATATGAAGAGATAAAGGGAAAATAGCATCCAGCTTACTTATGTTAAGATTAAAACAGAAAGTTTTCTTTGTCTCTGTAGCTGACCCAATACTGATTTTCCTGATTCTCAGTCTCTGAAATTATTTTTTTCATGTGTGTGTGTAGCTATGTCTCAGGTATGTCCATCATTCCCTCTGCAGTGGAATATACTAGGTTTTTTGGATATTCTTTTCTTAGGTTCCTCAAAGATATATAGATACTTAATATTTTTATTTTTTTTTAATTAATTTTCCCTTTCCCCCCCTTCCCTTTCCCTTATTCTTCAACCTCCTGTAAGTAAAATAAGTGTAATCTCACTCTGCTGGTGACACTGGTACTGGTTTGTAGTACCACATGTTATTTCCTGTGTGCAAACCATTAATCAATAGCTTTTTGCCTCAACAAAATGTGAAACTTCCTTCCTCTTTGTTAATGATTCTGTCTACCAAATCCATTGATCCATATATTTCATAGCATTTTGTTATTTGTACCAAATACATTTATATTAAGATATATACATTGGATGATTTTCTAAATCTGACAGAGGTTTTTGACTTGGAAAATATAAAACTAATCACACATCTTGGAGTGAAAACAAATTTTGTCATTGATGCCAGACTTCCTTTTTTATTTAATCTTTTTTTTTAAAGATTGCCCCAACAGAATACCAGTAAGCTTGATAGACATGCACCTGAAACTTTAAAATCTTTGTTTATCTGCAGAGCTAAGTGTGAGTCAAACCATTCTGAAATAGAGCTGGTAAGAAAATAACTGGGAAATGAAAAAGCATCTATGAAAAACCTGGAATCTTTGCTTGCGTCCAATTGTGAGAATAAATTTCGGTTGCAGAGAGCAAAGCAAGAGAAAGACTCTGAAATTCAGTTTCTCAAGGAACAGCTTGCTTTAGTAGAAAGTATTCTGTGAGTAAATGACCAGGAGTGTGTTGCAATTTTTCTCATTCTGTCCAAGTGTATTTAAACAGAAGTGGTTTTATATCTAGCTGCATTTCAAATGGCCAGTGTACCTTGACTACATTAATAGCAGAAGATACCAAAAACCTGCTCTGGCTTTCTCAGTTAAACCCTAATAGACTCTTCTTCATAGTGTTATATTTTGCTCCAAAAACATGTTCTTAATCTCAATTGCATGGTAGCTGCCCTTTTAATTTTGAATAATTGCATATGGCTACATGCTTGGAGACTTACAGTTGCTATCTAATTAATGTGTGTGGACTTCACAGTGCAGTGCAGAATCAAGATTTTACCTCAGAAACAGAGCAGCTCAGTTAGAGTCAGAACTGGATATCACCAAAACACAGCTGGGGATTGAGCGCTTTGATAGGCAAGTATGTTTTTGTATTGTGCTTCCTGCAGCTAATTGGGGTGAAATGCAGTATAGTACTAAGGCTAATTAGTCAGATAAACAACAAAGATTGGGTTTACACTGCTGTAAATCTCCTGTGTGTTCAGAGACTATTCATGTCACTAAATAGAGTCTGTTCAGCTGTTACACATGCTGTCTAAATTAGTTGTGTAGGTTGCCTGTATAGCCAACAGAATGAGACAGTGAGATTAACTACCCTCTGGAATAGCCTGGTTTAGGATGAGATGGGTCACTTTCCTGAAGATGCTCATCTCTCTTAACTTATACTAATACCTGACTTAATCTATGGTGAAAATGCAGGTGACTTGTCATTTATACAAGTGCTCTATAGCCTACTAGTTCTCTGCACCCTCTGGAATTATTTTTGCCTGTACCAACCCACATTTTCCTATGTACTACTTGAAGTGCTATGGATGGCTCCCAAATGGTAGTATGACAATTTTTTATTTTTTAATTTATGTTTTAATTTTGCAAGAAGAGAGTTTAACAATATATAGGAACTATTTCACCTGATTTGGCCACAGCACCAGAGAATGGTCCCTGTCTTGCTTCATGCATTAATTTATCTATGTAGTCTTGGTGTCTTACATAGTTTTCTTATCTTTGAGACAACAATACTTCTCTACTTCATGGATGTATTGAGGATAAAATATTACAGTTTTGGGTATTATTTTGGATATGTAAAAGAGTGAGCTAAAAGAAGCAGAGTAATGTGATTATAGCACAGGTCTGAGAATGAGGTGTCTCGTTTAACTGGTAAACTATTGATATTTTGTTCTCTCCTAAGTAAGGACGAGGGCCCTGGAGAGGACATCTCTGCCTTCATGGAGAGAAATTATGCTGCTTCTTAGAGCCAATCTATTTTTCTGGCAATGGCAAGTGAAAAGCAGAAAATTGGCCACATAAGAAAAATACTATCATTAGAATCAATATCTTGTTAGTATATAATGGAAGCAATAGCTGTGAGTAGTTACTGGTTTGGTTTTGTTGTTAGTTTGAGGAAGTGGGTATATACTATCCTTTTTATACCAGTGGCTGGACTAGTCGTACTGATTTATTGTCTTGGTGCAGAATGAAATAATGCCTGAAATTAGGAAGTGCCAACATTGTCAGGTTGAATTGACATTGAATGGGCACCAAAATAGTGATACCAGGAGGCTTGATCCATCAGTCTGGCTTTTTCTTTACTAGCCAGGAAAAGAACCTCCCCATCCCTGTTACCGCTGAAGATGAATAGATCACACACACACAGGTCAAGGTGTGGTGAAAGAAAGAACAGAGTTTATTTTTTCTCCCAGGATTTATAGGCTTCTTACCACGGCCAGGGATTGGATGGTCAGGATAACTTTCTCACTGCACTGGCCATGAGAGATGCCCATCACAAGACGTGTAACAGAAAGAATGTACACATATCTATGTTTACAGTTACTCTCCTGGGAAAGTCCTTAGAAAACTTTGTTAACAAGCTCAGAAGCTGAGTTTTCAGGGCGACACATCCCTCCCATTCCTCTGACTGCAGAAGTAGTTTGGACTCCTGTGGAAACAATAGGTTTTAAATATTGTCCTCCCCTGGCTGTGGTGACCAAGCACAGAGACTGTTGGGCTTGTTGGGCTGCTGTTGCTGGAGCAAGTCCTTTTGTTGTCCCTAGATCCAGCTCCCTGAGCCAGTGCTGAATGTCATCAATCCCCAGCAGGCTTTAGTGGCCTGCTTCAGTGGTTCACTCCACAGGTAGGTCTGTGGTATTGGCTGAGCCACACTGAAACCCAAGGGTTGTTGTAGCCACCTTACCTAGTAGCTTTCCAATCCAACGCAGACTAGATTCTCCTTATGTAAACAACTGACAGTCTGAAGCCAGGATCCCAGAGGAGTATGTACCTTCAAAACCTTCCAATGGATTATCTAATCCCACATATTTCCTTCCCATACAGCCAGATGCAGGAGTTATGGATTGATCTAATATCCAGGCCCCATCTCTTCCACTCAAAATGACTGGACTTCCATTTTGCGACTTTACCATTGGGGATTCCAGCATCTCTTAAATATCCATCAGTTTCAGGGCACTTCAGTAGACTCTAGTCCACTGCCCTTGCCAACTCAAACAGCATAGGAATACCACAAGCAGCACTGTTCTTACTTTTGAATAACCTTAAAATTAGGCTCCTCCTCCCTGGAGATGTTTACAGTTTTTAGTTTTAAAACTGCAGTTACCATAGCTATCTTCTGTCTTTCAGGGAAAATTGAGGCAAAGTTTGTTGAGAAGTATATGATGAAAACTACATTTCCTTTTAAAATAAAATTTAGAAGCTGACAATCTTAGGGAAAAAAAGGCTTATACTGACTATGAGAGAGTTTTAAAGATTTTTGAAAGAATGTTTATTCTTACGGTAAAATAATGTTTATTTAGAGAACTGCGGGAGCTTCAACATCAGAGGTGTACAAATTCACATCAGTTAAGCTCTACATTAAAAATATCATGACATCAACATTCCCATCACTGATCTCTTGATGGGTCTCTCAACTAATCCCTGGCAGGCTAGGTGGTTCCATTACATTTAAGTTCCAAATGCTGGGTGGGGAAATAAAAATGAAAGCATGAACTCTGATACTTCTTGTCAAAACATCAATTGAATTCCATGGAATTACATTCATGTAAGAAAAGTTACAAGAAGATTCAGGATCACAATCTTATGATGATACTCCTTTTATTTTGTTTTATTGAATTGTATCGAACTATATAGTCAAGAGCAATTACTTGTACTGAGATACCGTAGTCAAAAATTCTTACAACAGTAATGGAAATAATGCTACAGAAAATCTCAACTGGTCACAGTTTTGTACAAAGTGTAGATGTAAATATTTCCATCTTTCTTACATAAAAACTCTTAACTATCTGGTCTTTCTTCTAGTTTTCAGAGTAGCTTTTACTCTATATATGCCCGTGTTTTTACAAGAAATGTAAATGCATTCTATAAATATTCAATACTCATAATCCTGACGATAAGCAAGCGCAGCTTTCTTTTTCACAATTAGTGGATTGGAGCTTCCACAATATGGAGTCACTCCTGGCAGTTTCAGTCTCAGTTTAGTTTCCTATTTGGTTGCATGCTTGTTGCATCACATGTTTTTTGATAGATTGATGGCAGCATACATTAAAAAAATATTGCCAGTTGAAGGGGGAAGAAGTCTCAGTTCATGACTTGCTTTTGAGGTGACTGTGTGCTTCCAAGTTTAATTTATTCACTGAGATTATTACCTTTGGCACTTCACTAATCTTTGCTATCAAAGGCTCCTCTAAATATTAAAAATGGGTCAAAATAATATGCATCAAGTTTCCTTGGGTCAGTCAGCTGGTTCTGGTGCCCTTAGGAAGAAAAACAAAGCTGTGCAAGAGAGTTATTTTTTAGCTACTGCCAATCCTTGATAGCAAGTACAGTGAGTCTTCATTCCTCTGATAGAGCTGTCTACTCCTCCTGCATCTGAGTACAGTGTAGCTCTTCAATTTGTTGAAAGAAACATTGTGTCATTTGGAACAGTTTCATCTAGTTTTAATTACCATAATACTTTCTTCTATTTTTGATACTTACAAGGAAAAGAGGAAACAATCTGTGTAGTCATCACACTGATACTAACAATCATGGTGCTTTCTCTATTTGCATTACTCCCTTTTCAGGGTGATAAAATTCCATTCTAAGTAGTAAACTTCTGGCTAAATAACAGATGAAGACTAATCTTCTACAAGCGAGATTAGGAATTCAGTTCCTATCTTGCTTAATGTTCTTTTTTTTTTTTTTCTCCTGATTTTGTGGAGGATTTTTGCTTGGTGTTTTGTTGTTTTGGTTTGATTTGGGTTTTTTTTATCCTGGTTGGCCTTATGTGGGTTTTGCACATTTCTAGGGTACAATGAGTTTGAAGACTAAAAATGAAGTAAGTGAGGCGGGTTTGTTTAAAATTTTCATACTGTTTTAAGCTAAGTTTTTCTTAATTGAATATATGTATCTTTTGCATGGCAATGAACTCAATTTTTCTTCTGCTCAGTTATTTTCCATTTTTGAGAATTCAAGAGATATAATTCATATATAATAACTAATATATTCATAACTTTTTTCTTCATCCAAGTCCTTGTTATACTTTTATTTTTTGCTACATGGGAAGAACTGAGGTTGTTTCAGACTTACAGGCTCCTGGAATCCTAGAATGGTTTGGGTTGGAAGGGACATTAAAGACCACCTAGTTCTAACCTTCCACTAGACCAGGTTGCTCAATTCCCTTCAACACTACTTAGTTACTTGCTTATGCTAAAGGGTTTGGGACTGTTTTCATTAAAAAAACCCATGCAATAATAACTGAAATGTTGGCAGTCAGTGCTACATTTTAAAAGCTTAAATGAGAAGAATTTATCAGGTTTGTGGATGAATGAAACAGTCTGTTAGAAAAGGCTCTTGTAAAATAGAGCAGAGATCTGAATCTGGAAATATCTGCTTTGTATAGGTGATGTACATTTGATTTAGATATTTGCTTTAATGTCCACAATACTAACGTTCTTGATAAATTTTATGTCAAGAACTTAGAGTGTCAATCAAGAATAAGATGGAATAGTAGAAATGTATGAAATATCTATGAATGATCATTTCCCTCTCAGCTAACTCTAGAAAGATTTAGAAAATTCACTGAGACCAGAACGAAATAACAAATATAAAATATTGCCTGAGGGTAAAAGCAGAATATTACTGCAAATATTTGGGTGCAATAATCAGCAGAATCAAAGAATTAAGACTTTTAAAATATATATTTGGGGAATTGATGAAATATGATCTAGGTGTAAGTTCCTGTTAAGTAGTGTACTACTCTCCCAGGAAAGTCCTCCTGGAGGGGAAATGTCATTTTACAACCACTTTAAGACAAGTCACCAGGGATTGAAAAAGGTATTGTAGAAACAACTGCTGGAAACTGGAGAGGCTTCTTCCACAGCTAATATGTGCATATATGCAGTATACATATATGAGAGAGTAGTGTTGGAATCAGTGTTAATGCCCTTCCTTCTCTCCAGGTGCTATTTCAGCAGACAGTTTGTGATAGTAGATGACCTATACAGTCATGTCCTCATTCTATGGAGGATGTGGTATCAGAAGTAAATTGGACAGTACCTTTTTCTTATTATTCCATCTTTCTGTATGTATTTATTGTACCAGAGTCCTTCCTCCAGTGAAGGGAAAAGGAGGTGCCCTGAAGTTTGTGATGCACACCTGGTGGGAAAGACCTTTTCCGTCCAATTTTCTTAAGTGATAGGTGTCCAAAGCTTGCCTTACAAATCAAATGTGTTACAACATTTTTATGCAATAAAATCTAATCTGTCAAATGATCTGGATTGACTGTTAAAGAGACTAGGAAATGTCCTCAAAGTGCTTTCAGAATCCAGACCTAGATTAATCCTTTTTGCTATCTTCATAAAAGAATTTATTAGGTCTCTGGTTTATTTTTGCAGGCAAAGGCATGTTGGTCACAATAACGGGTTAAGCATAAACTTGCACATATATTCCTTTGTATATTTTTTTGTGATTGCCTGACTGCTCAACATTAACATACATATCTGAGTAGTATTTAAAGACAACATAACCTATACAAGTGCTCCTAATACTGAAATAAAGCAACTGTGTTGGTTTTAAGGAACAGGTGGCTTTAAAAAGCCTCTAAAAATAGTTTCATGAATAATGTTTTAAAAAAATTAAAGTATAAATATATATGTGCAACATAAATTTCAGGATTATCTTCCACAAGAGTAACAATATTTTTCAGTACATGTGAACTGATTTTAATTTGGAGGTCCTGGTTCTTCATTCCTTATTTGGCAGACAGCCACAGAAGTCATACCACCAATCACCAGTGTTAATGGGATTGCTTGCAAGTGATAAATACTGTAGGAGCAGATATGATATTAACTATTGCCACATTATGCAGTTATTAAAAGGCATATTGTACACTTTTCCCAGATGAGAGAAGATGATAATTTCATTATCCCAGAAGATGAAAGAGATTTTTGTTTTGCAATCATACTGTCATATTGATTTTTGTTTTTTTCTAGAAGATGATCACAAAACAGTTTGAGATATGTGATCTTGGTCTATAAAACTAATACCCAATCATCTAAAACATGAAAAGCAGATATTAGATAAACTTAGTACAGATAAAAGGAGTTATTTTGGGGAGTAGATATGCTGTGTGGAGGCCCATATAATAAGATGTAATTATTTAGTTGCAATAATGATGCTTTTCCATGTAACATAATGAAGAAGTCAGTAAAGAGGTGCTCATGTAAAAAGTAAAAGCAGAAGATTCTTAAGCAATTTGGATTTAAAAATTCTCCTCTTATGCAGACAGGAATAAGGGAATATGAGATTATAAATATCAAGATGTAATAAACCTGCTTTTTCTTGAGTACTCTGATAAAGTAATAGTCTTTTTATTAGGGTTAGACTTTCCTTAAGAAATGTTTTGGAAATGAAAACCTTAAATTTTTATGCAAAAATTCAAGGGGATCATGGAGCCAAAGGAACTTTTGTCAATGATGATGGCATATAGACTTCTGTCATCAGAAGTGACTTCTGACTGCAGTTAATTGCTGCATAATTTTTGATGGTTAAGAAAAAAAAATTAAAGCAAGTATATGCAGAGAGCAGGACCACTGTAATGTTAATCCCCCTATATCTGCTCTAAATCAGAAACTGAAAGAAAAAAAACCAAAAAAATTAATTGAGTTTTCTGAAGTTTGAAAAGAATATGTTATATTTGACAATAAACTTGCTTGTTGGCAATGTCTATAGCAATAGCCCAAGAGGACTGGAACAGTGTTTGTTGGTTGGGAATTATATCCACTGCCCCAATAGTATATTCTAAAAACCTTCAGCTCATGACTGAATATTAAAGGCAGATAATGAGCTCAGAGTTTTTACTATTCTTTACTTTTGGTTGTAAACACTCTAATCTGTAATACATTTTAATCTTTTCAATACCCAGGAATTACTGTTATATATGCCCAGCCTGAAATGTGTTACACACTTTGTGAGAGTATCTATTTCCTCATGATGTGGGTTACTTGTGATTTTCTTGTCATTGCTTAGTTATAATATTTTGATTGGAAAGAGACTTACACCCAAAAAATCTATTTATCATTTTCTATATTTCTATTTTTTTCTATTTATCATTTGTTTGCATTTGTGACATTTATTTGCAACCGTGAACAACATTACACTTGATTTTTTTACATGTATTTGAATTACCTCTTACCACAATATTTTTACCTAGGAAAACCTGAAAATACAGTTTGTGGTTTTATAAAAAATAAGAGTATTTTAAATTAAACTATACTGTTATGACCTAAAATCATGTGGTTTGCATAACAAAGAAACCTATCATATTTGTAAAAGTATTCATGATAACTTTTAGACACTGGTTATAGAGCTGTTTCTCACTAAGTTTGCTTACCTGTGGCAATCGAAACTGTACCCACTACTCAGTAGAAGATATTTCACTTGAGCATAACTGGTTTACAGGGTTTGTAGAGGAAAGAATTCAGTATATCTGGCATCCTCCTCCTTATTATCTTTTCTGCATACTAGAAAAAGCAGGATATATGGATACAGAGTGGTATCTCCATTACAATATGACATCTGTTGGTCTCCCCTCATTGACCACTGCCATCATTCCATCTTTTCTTTTTCTTCTTTTCAGTCACTAATAAAACTTGAATTTTAGCAACATGTAATCAGAATTAAGATTCTGATGTCAATGTTAAAGCAAGTGGTTTTAGTCTTTGAGCAGAAAAAATGGTCATGGTATGGGGTAGTCTTTGGTAGTACTACAACTGAATTTTTTGTTCTATCCCCTTAATTTCTTCTCAGACTAAATAGTCCTGTCGGTGTCAGTGTAGGCAGTGGAGTATTAGCAACATCTAATTAATTAACATCTAATCAGGCTATCAGCATCAGGTACAGTTTAGCATTTCTGTTACTCAGGTGCTTTTATATATTTATTTAATCTTTGATATTGTCAGTTACAATGATACAGTAGAATGGATAAGAACTTAGCATATATTCCATATTTTACTAGTTAATTTGCATTAGCATCTCCTTCCATATAATTTTGGAATGAACAGCCCTGCAACAAGAAATGCAAATTGATTTACTGATACAGAATGAAGGGTCTGTAAAGAAGTGTAATATTTTAATAAAAGAGGCTTTTTAATGTATATTGTACTCTTAGAGTAATCTTTCCTCTGATCTACTGAACTTTCACGCTAATTCCCAGCAGAGGGAGTAAGTGAAACGAAGATGAATGAATGATACATAACTTTGTGGTATTAACATGCACAGTTATCTGAACATGCGGAAAGATATTTCAGTTAGTTTTACATTTTGGATGCTTTCTAAACAGAAGAAAAAGAGCTTTATATGATGGATAAAATTTTCATATGACTCCAGTTAGACTGAATATATCAAAACACAACTTTATTTCATGACAAGGATCAGATTTTTTTATTAATAAACTTTGAAAAAACAAATTTGTAATTTGCTTGTAATTAAAACTTTATGTATGAAGGCATGGCCTGAGATGATGTTCGCTTCCAATCATTTTTTTTTTTTACCTGACTCTTTAATATACTGTAATTAGATTTTTCTTTAGGCTGTCTCACATTTTATTTTTATTAAAATCCATGAAGCAGTTTAATAATTTATTTCAGCAGATGAAAAAGTCTAAGCTTAGTTTTAAGTTTTCTATCTTGTGCTTCTCATCTATGTTGTATTTTTGGTGCTTTTATTTCCTGAGGTGGGAGAAGAACAAACATTTTTTATCTTGAATGCAGCCTACACCCAAGCAATTATGTAGAGTACACAAAGCAGAAAACGTCTTTGTTGTCAGAACTGCAGTGCAACCAAGCAAGTGAACAATGTACTTCTCAGATTGGCATTACATGAGGGTATGTCTTTCCTGCACATAGAAATATTTCATAAAATCACTTTTGCCAGTATAGCGTGAATATTTTTAAAACAATGCTACTTGGCAGAAATAAAACCTATAATTGAATTTCTTTTTTGACCCACAGTGACTGCTCTGGAAGTAGTGTTGAAATGATTTTTCATCTTAAGAATGAAGGCTTTCCATTTTCATTTCTGCCTCCCTTATCAGTGCCTTGAGAAACAAGTAACCTCCACAGCATTTTTCACTCTAATGCTTTTGCCTTGGACTGCAAGGCAGTGTGATTTTGATTAATTTATCAGGCAACACCTATATTTTCTATCCAAAACTGCTGTCTTCAGAGTCATTGACTTTACACGGGTGAGACTCTTCAGAAAAAAACAAACCAAAACCAAAGTGCTTATGTTGAAGCAGAACGCAAAAGTTTGAGAGAAATTTACTGTAATAGATAAGATGCCGGAGTGGGGAGCTAACTACCCAATGTTATTTTGGTCAATTCTTCCAGTCACTCCATCCAGTCTTCCTTTCTCACCTCTTGCATAGAAGCTAAGTTTGAAACACCCCATTTGAAGATCCAAGAGCACTACTGTTCAGAAATGTAAGCAGCTTCAGCTAAACCCTGATACCACCTCAAGGACGCTGACTGTAGCTACGTGCTGCAATTACCCCGCCACCTCCAACACTCGCTCGAGAAAATAAACTGGAAATGGTTCATCGCTACGTTAAGCCGCTTAGGCAAGGCGAAAGGGGAAAGAAAAGCCGAGGCGGAAAGTTATAGCGGTGAAATCGCCCTTCCAGAGTGCCTGGTCCGCTCCTTCCTCTCACCCCCGTGTGGCTCTGTGGCCCGGCCGCGGTCAATGTCTTACCGAGGTGGAAAACACCTGAGCGCCGCACCCTGCCCGCCCCGGGGCAGCGCCGCGGCCTCGCCTCGCCTTTGGCCCCGCGGCCGCGGGCGGGTCCTGGCCGCAGGTGGCGGCGGGCCCGGGGAGGAGCGGGCAGGCCCGCGGGCAGGTGGCAGCAGGTCCGCGGCTCGGATGGGTCCCCACCACCCGACTCCGGCGCTCCCCGCCTCCCCCACCGCTGTCGGGCCGCCCCGGGCCGCTGAGGGCTGCGCCGGCCCACACGGGCTGCAGGTGAGTGAGGGCAGCGCGGGACCTGCCGGGCAGCGGCTCCCGAGGGCCGAGCTCGGACGCTGCCGTCTGGGGAGGCTGGGCGGCGGGCAGGACTTCGCTTCCTTCCCCGCGACTTCTCCTGAGGCTGTTTGTCTGCGAGCACAGTGACGGGAGACGCTTAACCTGAAGCAAAACAGGCGTTTAATTTAGAGGCCACATGCACCTAGTAGGACACGGGTTTCCATGTGCACGAACGGCTCCAACGCGACCAGCGTTTCCAGGGTTCTAGAAGGTGTGAATTGGATTGAGGTGAACAGGTTTGTGCTCCCACCAGCCCGGCTCCCTGCAGGAAGGCCGAGCTCAGCAGGCAGTGTTTTCTTGCCCTGAAAGACTGTGGCTTTTCCTCTCCTATTCCTCAAATATCTCTTAAAATGTTGACTGATCCTCTACCTTGAAATTAGCCATAAATGGTGCGACATTTCCCCCTATTTAATGTATTTTCGGACATGAGACCTGAAATACCACAAATACATTGTTCTTGTTGTTATGCTCACTTCTGTTGGCAAACTTTACTGTCCACAGGATATTTAGTGTATTGAATTTAAATTGCCACTGATTGTTCTTAGGTTACTGCATAGGAATCACTTCAGTTCAAAACCTTTTAAGAACACAATGAAATTTTAGTTGTGAAAACATCATATTGCCAGTTTTGCCATACAATTAGCTGAAAACCACCTTGTATATAAAGAGAAGTTTATAGGAACACCCTAACTAATTTTTGCATATTTTCACACTAGTTAAAAACCTCAGCTTTTTTTCTATAGCTATTTTAACTGTATTTAAATTGGATAAAGTAATGCATGTCTTAGGTTTTGTATCTGTATAAATACCAAAGCAATGTAAGTATTACTTAGAAGCATGCAGTGGACTGTATATTCCATTCTTTCTCTGAAAGTAAATTTTATTCCAGGTTGACACACAAGATCTTCCAGAAGCTTTTCCTGTTCTCTTATTTTGCCATTATAAATCTTAGGTACCATAACTATCTTCCATAAATCTTTCTTTGGTTGGACATCATGTTCTCTACTCAGTACTGTACATTCTTCTGTATTTGTCATCATTAAGAAGTTCATTTGCTTTATCACTCACAGATTATTAGCATCCAAAAATAGCAACCATGCATCAATGCCTGTTTGATGCTGTTACAAGGCTGTACGTCATTTTTGCATCAGACTAATTTCTCAGTCTTTGTAGCACCATGCCAATAAACACTGGGGCAACAGTCCTTTTCCATGCAACATGATATGGATTGTTTTTTTGTAAATTTTAAGTGGAACTGAGCTCTCATCAGCAGTTTCTACAGGGCAAAGATTAGATTACAGAAGGAAAAAAAATGTAACTTTATTACTGGCACTTGCCTTATAGCTCTTTAATCATTGAAAGAAGGCAGTTTCAGGGTTGGAGTTGGCTTATCATTAAAGAAAAGGGAGCAGGTGCATTTAGGCTTATCCAGTGATGAGGTAGGAACTGTCTGTGGTTGTTTATAGTGACGGGTAATTAGTTTGTCTATGTACAGACGTCAGAGTTTATAGAAAGTAGAAGGTCATGTTTCTTTGCTTTCACAGAGACCTTGTGAACTTAAATTCTGCTATGTTTTTAATTAAAAATGTTTTCTTTAGCATGTGCTTCTGGGTGTGTAGAGTCTAATTCTTCTGTTGGAAAAAAAAACAGCTAACCTGGCAGTGTTGCTTCTAAGGCAGTGGATGGGAATATGAATGTGTACTGCCTGCCATTGAGCTCTGCTGAGGAAAGGGTTCTGCTCACACTCAGCCTGTGGTGGTGCTGACAGCCTCTGCTGTCCTCTCTGTTGTGCAGGACATTAACAGCTGAATAGTACTTGGCTGTAGCCTCAGTACTTATAGTCATGACAAAAGAGTAGCAAAGAGGAGGAAAAAAAACATTCCTTAATAACAAGGACTGGCAGTGAACTGTTACTGAGGAACTGAAAATAGGATTGAATTATGGAAATGTCTCAGGCAAATATTTATTGCAGTAGCAAAGCTGTATTTCAGATTCACCAGGACAAAAGTGAAATAATCAATGTCTAACAATACATATACAAGTTCTCCCTGTTTTATGTGAAGATTTAATAAATGTTCATTGCCTCACAGCCCAGCTGTTCCACTCTTGATTTCAGATGTGTGTTTCCAGCAGCACAACCTGTCTTTGACTGGAGAGTATAACCAATAAACATTGTAGATAGGGACCTGCAGAGTACTTACTGTGAAGAAAGTGAAGGTGACTCTGAAGCCTATTGTTACTAGTGTCACAGATCTGTCATCCAGTGCCCTGCACAGCTGGAATGCATCAGTTCTCTTCTCTGTGGTCTTGCTTCACAACAGCAAGCTCAGGCTTTGGCCCATTAAACGTAGTATATACCCAGCAGTACACAGTTAATTTATCTTTCTGTTTCAGAAGCCTGGAAGTGCCTTTCTGCAATTGTAGGTGCTGATGAACTGCATATGGCTAGTTTGTTAAAGTCCAAAATACTAAAGGACATCCGCTTGAACATGGAAATCTTTGTTGGAAGGCAGTAGAATGAAGGCTGTACATGCCAGGATTGTAAGATGCTCTTAGAAAAAGCTGCTTCATTTCCCAGCTGTGCATGTACTGGAAGAGAGTTAAAAATCACAAGAGAGATGGAAATTCAGTCACAGAATGTAATTTGTTCAAGGTATTAAATATAGAGTCTTCTCTTACTGCAAGATTTATGGTTCTGTATTATTAAAGAGAGAGTATATGCAAAAAGGTCAGGAAATGAGACCATATACTTACCCGTTTTATTGTAGTGAGACATCTATTCATGGACGTTGTCACTTAAGGAAGATGGCTTTATCTGTACCAGAGAATTTCTGTGCATTGCTGCTTATCCTCAAGTCAGCAGAACTCCCTCAGAATTATTTGGGGTTTATAAGCTAGGGTCCTCTCAGTTTATGCTTTTGAACTGGCCAATAAGTGTAGAAATCTCTCCCCAGTGCCTTCTCAATGTGGTACTGCAGCCTTTCTGCTCCCATCACTACACATGAAGAGGGTTAAGCTAAGACAGGCTTATTAAATCTGTGTCATCTCATAAAGTCATTAATGGAAAGATCTTCCTTGTACAGTATCAAATTTGATTAACATTTTGGAGGTAGATGTGGGTAAAATGGTGCAATATAAGAGGCAAGGGGGTGTCTAGCTGCTCTGAAATACATTTAAAATGGAAAATTTTGAAATTAAACATAAAAGTAAACAATGCAATCAGTACAGGAATTCTGGAGTACTCCATTTTTTTGGTGTCTATGAAGAGTGCACATAGTGGGTTGTAGAATTCTGAGTGTAAAATGCCTACATCTGTTTGATGATTTATAACTGGATGAAACTAAAAGTCTTGGCAGCTTGAAACCAAGCAACTGGGTCTGTTGGCCCCTGAGAAAATACTGACAGCAGTCTGGGAGCAGAGTGTAAAATGTATTAGTAGATGTATCTGTGAAAATCAGCAGTGATACTTCTAGTGAAGTTCAGACTTAAATAATCATTGTCTTAATTTCAAGGGTACCATTTTACTGTGTTCATACCTCTTGCAAGTCCTATTACTCTTGATTCCTATACTCTTTATAGCCTCAAAGGGAGTCAACAGAATTCCTTTTGGCAGTAGTAGCTTATCCAGTAGTTGCAGGAATGTAGCAGAAAAGTGTCTTGGAACCCTTTAAACAGCAGATGGTGTATCTGCTTTTGTGCAGCACTTTTGAAATGCACCTTGGGAGCAAATTTCGCTGTAAACATTGGTGATGCCTGAAATTCTGACAAATTTTGAAATAATCAAGAGGAAGATTAAGTCAATGGCTCAGAGAAATATGCATCAAAACAGGTATAAGAGATAAAGTGGGACTTTTTTAGCAGTTTATCACCCTTGACTCTTCATGACCTTGAATTGGTCTAGTGAAGTGTAACTACAAGAGTGTTTACTTAGGGCAAATGGTTTTTTAGCCAGACTGTTGATGTTCAAAGAGAATGAGATAAAACAGGACACTAATTTCTTTGGTATTTCTTCCAGTGCATTTTGTTTCTCAGAATTCTCAGGTCCATGGCTCTCCATGCTCCCAGCTGCTTCAGAGCAGATTTCATCAGTCAGCTCCACGAGTATGGAAAACCTACACGAGTATAAGCTGGCACATAGACTCAGTGGTGTCCCCTGCCAGCTGGTTCTCTGGTGAAGTTTGTTGCTAAGTTAAGACAGAAGTAGCTTTGAAAAGAGTCCTTCAAGGAAAATTTCTTGTCAGTACTTGACAGCACAACTTTTTTTTTTATGGAAACACTAAATGATTTTAGGGATAATGTCTGAGTTTACAGGCAAGACACTCCTGAGAGTACACAGTTATAAAAAGTGCTTCAGCTCACACTGCTAAGCTAAAATCCCCATAAACACTTTGTTTGTTCTATGGATAAAAAAACCACAATAACTCTTCTTTGGTTTTTTAAAAGAAAATGAGTTAATTTGTTTAAAAGGGCCATTTATTTTTAATGAAATTGTTTAATATTGCATCCTTGAAAAGCTAAAAACTAAGTGTGTTTTGGTTTGTTTGTTTTTTTATCTGCAGGACATAAAAGTTCTGGGCAAGGGAAAGAGGTTGCATTTTTACTCCTTTGTATCTTAAAGTGGTGAGTGAGATGGGAAGATTACACAGTTATCATTCTCCATGTCATTCTTCTTTTATCACATCAGCTTTGGCAACTCTGCTATTTAAAGAGAAGTAGAATATAACAAAGGAACTGCTTCATCTTCTAACTCATTGTCTAATACAATGCAATCAGCTGCCTGTATTTTAGAATTATGGGGTTTGTTTGATTTTACACTTGAGTAGATTTCTTTCCTTCCTAAAATGGAAAATATTCTAGAACTGAGCAAAGAAGCTATAAATACAATATAATGTGGAACTTAAAGGACACAGGGCACTGTATGCCATAAAAATTAGTAGCTCTTTTAATCTTACAGTTGTGGTATTCTTTCCTTAATATTGGAATCAGTATCACTAAGGTTTTTTCAAGGTATTGGGGGGTTGGGCAGACACAGGTGTTGGACTGTATCAGCTGACCATGGAAACACTCAAGACTTTCCATAGGTACTTAGACAAATGGGAGGTTAAGGAGGGAGAGACACATGATCTGTCTATCTGTCCTAACTAATTCCATTCCTAGAAGAAGAACAAATTGGTAGTTTCTGCAGCTTACAGGACATTTGAGTTGGTGTAGTGTTTAATGCATTACCATTGAGTCA